CTAGGCACTCTGCTCTATATGCGTTTCTCACCAGCTACAGGGATTCGAGCTTTGAAGCTATTCACTCTGCCCCATACTAAAAATTTAGAAGTCGAATGACCAAAAGGGGGTAGACATTTTGAGGATAGTATTTCCCTTAAAAAAATGCTGTTCAGCTCATAAAAATGATTTATAGATAGCTGATTGTTTAGGTTTTATCAAGCTATCTATCAAAGTAATCATACAGTTATCCATCTATTCAATTGTCTGATTTTCCTCTCCATTCAATTATCTATCCACCCATCTTTCTCTCTAGTAATCTATTTACTCTATTTGTCAATCCATCAATGTAATTTTCTAACACTTCTTTCTATTTCTTTCCTCACTACTCACTATCAATTCATCACCATATTAATGTCTAATCATATTGTGTCTATTCAACTGTATTCATTTCTCCTCTACCTTCAGCAGACATTGGCATCTTCAAAATTACCTATCAGCTTCTCATGTGAAAGCCAATGATCTCACAGGCTAACAGCATAGAAAAGCAATATGGCATGGACTCTTTGGAATGTGATATCCCATCCACCCAACATAGATGCGGTTAACGGATGGACCAAAGTAGAATTCTAATGATCAGTCACTCACTATTCCCAGAAGTGACTGGGTTTCCACAGCCACCTTCTTGGGAAGTCAATTGACCCTGGAGAAGCCTGGATTGCTGCGTATTTTTCTTTTTTTCACACTTGAAGGACCAAGGAGCCAACCTTCATGCTTCTCTCCGCCTTTCAAGAAAGTGTATGTCAGGAACCTATAGGATTCACCCCAGGGCTGGCTTTTCTTAATAGCAAGAGCAAAGAAGAAAACAAACACATCTGACTGTGGAACGGAAAGAACGCAGTCCACCTGTCTGCGTGCGATGACTTCAGCTATTGTCTCCTCTCTGCTCCAGTTTCAGTTGAATCTGTTTGAAAACTATCCAGTAAAAAGCCGATGAGGCCAATTACATGGTGGGTGTGTTGACAACTCTGGTGTTTGTATCAGAAAGCTCTTCTGGGCTGAGGAGGGCACTTGAGCAACCCACTTAATTTCCAAGCACGTGATTAACACAACACTGCAAACAGAGGGGGAAAGTGGAAGTGACTCACAATTTCCTCTGCTACAGGCTGCTGCTCCACCAGCTCTGGGGGAGAATGTCCTCAGCTCTCCATCGTCAAAGCAGACCTAGTATAGAGACAGGAGCTGATCTGACCTTTCTACATTATCTCCTGGGACAGGAAGGACTCGGCCAGTGAGGGTGCCGTGATCCAGAAGAAGGGCATTGAAAACCACACAAGGCCGTGTTTCACTTCACCTGTGCTGGTGGGACTGTCCTACCGAGCGGGTGAGAAAGAAGCATCCACAATGACTAACTCACACACCTACCCTGACCCGACTGGGAAACTGTTTCAGCAAAACAATAAATAATAAATATGTGTGTGGTTATGTGCACATATAAAATACAAACCTTTTTGCCTCGGCATACAAAAACCTAGGCACTTTCACAAGCGTTAGAGCTGGTGCAAGTGAAATTAATATGACATTTGCCAGCTGTAAACAGACATCTGCATTTCCTAGCGAGCCACCAGGAGCCGGATTCTGGGAACATAAATGACGTGCCAAAAGCAGTGTATCGATTCCAAGTTTCCAGGGACAATCATGAGCAGACATAAAGTCATAATTAAAAGTCGGACATCAGTGTTTCAGATCTGTCACCACATTGAGCACCTGGAGTCGGGTTGGTGTCAGACGTTGGATGAGAATCAAATGTGTCATGGGAGTGGTCTACTGATCATCAATTTGATGCTTGGGAATAAAATAAATGTGGAGGCTGTGGAGAGTTGGGGGTTTCAAAGAACAGGTTCTTGAAATGGACAAGCTGTACATGTTCTTCAGTCCAAGACGGTCCTAGAGGAAGGGGCCCACCCTCCTTGGGCCATGAAGGCCACCAGAACCTTCTGAACAGGGCAAGGCTGGGCCTCAGAGTCACGAAGAAACTCTGCACTGCCCTCTTCCTCTGGACACCAGGAAGCACCTCTGGTAGTTGCCTATTCCAGCCACACTTCCGAGGGGGAACAGCCTACAGCCAATCCTCATCTGTCTGGGATAAAGAAAACCAAGTAAATAAGACCCCAGGAAGCTGGGCACTGGGAAAGGAAATTGCTCTTCCTCACAACAGATGGCCCCCAGCTTCTGTGTTGTTTGGGTTACTTTGGTGGGGATGGCTCTATATGACAGTAGGTATTCCCCAACAGTTTGAAGCATACCGAGCAGTAAATGCTCACTAAAGACCACATCCACAAGTACATGTGCTCTTTCAACTTCACGTATGGAGGGTAGATGGATAAGGCCTGTTGGATAGATTTTTTTTCAAGGTGTCCATGGTGGGGATGGGGTAGGGGTAAAGGAGGAAAATCAAACAAGTCTCTGAGCATCCTATGGTTCTTTGCGGGTTTTCCATGGGAAGATAACCAAATAATGCTTATCCGAGAGTAGGTGAGAGGAACTCAGCAATGCCGTTACTCTGAAACCCTTCCCCTTCCCCAGACACAGTTGAAATGGACTTCCACCAAAGTAATGCCAATGAGAGTGCTAGTGTTAAGATTCTGGCCAAGCTTGTTTTCTCCGAAGTTTAATGTCAAGTGCCTGATATAGTCATCTGCAAGTCTAAGCAAGTGCTTTTAGTTTTTCTCATTCGTGCTTTAACTGGGGGAGAGGAGACATACAGGAGAATGTGGTGACACATGCATATATTTTATGCAGGGAGCGCACTGTGCATGATTGTTCTTCTGCAGCTGTGCTCAACTGAATAGAAGGAAAGGTAAGGCTTTGTATCAAAAAAAGGTCTGGGCCTCTTTCCTTTGCAACCAGTGCCTCGTCCTAGATGGTATGTTTCCAAGATTGGGCAGTGAGTTCTCAAGACCTGGGTGGGAAGTGTGCTCTGGGACCCTAGAAACTCCATAACCAAGGATGAATTGAAGGATCTGTTTCTGCATCAACCCAGTTGCCTTGCACTCAACATGGAAGAATTAGCAACTTCCACCTATGACAAAAGTACTCTTTCGTGAAAAGTGTAGAGAACCTCAAGGTGGGCAGTGGATCCGAAGAGAGTTTATCGCTGTCACTTCATCAGGAGTGGCTGTAAATTGAATAACCTGGTTTTGCTCGGTGCTTCCAACACCACTGAGATGGTCTTCTCCTCTGTAGTGATGTATGAATGGCATCAGCCCATCAGTAGAAAGATGTGAGAAATGGCTCAAGATGAGGAGAGATATGGGGTGGGGTAATCCTTCGCAATCTCACCCCGCCTTAACCAGAGAAACAGTGGCTTTGCAGTACCTGGAACCAGCCCTCCATTCTCCCCTCCCCCAAAGAAAACAACCCACAAATTTTTATTTTTTTAAAGAGAAAAGTTTAATCTCTTTAGAAATAGGAAAAGCAGCATAAAATTTTTCTTCTTGGAAAAATTCATTTTTTTTAATTTTTTTTTTTTTTGCCCAATAAGGAGAATCTTCATTTTGCACAAGACCTATACCTAGAAAAGCTTATACCCAATTGCCTCCCCGTGGTACTATCCAAAGTTTCCCTGTGTCTTTCTCTTAAGACAAATACGTTTGAGCAGTTGCAATAAAACTTCACAGGTGTGTAACTAGGAAGGCATCATTTTCAAGAAAGATACCATATGATGAGAACGCCTAATGATCACTGAAAGTAAACAAATAAAAATGCCAGTCTCATTTCCCTCATTTCTTATTTAAGAGAAGAGAAGTAAATGAAAGGAAGAAGAAAATAGATTCGCAATTAAAAGAAATGGCCAAAAGAGCTGAAAAGCGTGCAATTTAGCCTTCAGGTGCAGAATTCTGGGAGTCCAGAGGAATGTGGAGTGGACTCAATTAGGCCCAATTGTCTTCATCCTGAAAGTAGTCTGCCAAACCTCATTTCCCATATTTTGAGAGATTCCTTTTCGTGCCTTTCAATGCTGCCCCTTTGAAGGCACACAGTTTTCCACACCACTGAGCGCAGGAAGAAAGATTGTGAACCTTCCTACTCTTTCTCGGCCACATTCTCTGCTACTGGCAGATCTATAAGGACGTCGACAATAGCAATGATAAGTAATAATAGCTGCCCTCGCGTTAGTTAGAGGGAGCATTTTTAATCATTCAAAAATTTTTGTGACATGTACAGTGCAATTGTGCGGAATGTGTGCGTGTACGAAAATGTATCTGTCAAGTTCAGAGTCCTCTAGATTAAAAAAAAAAATTATGACTTATCAATAGTGCCGTTATAGCTATGTCAGACAATGGGTGTGCCCATTCTCACGATTATCCTTAAAGCAAATCTATGTTCAAATGCTTTAAAAATTGATCACATGATACAAGAGTATAACTTTGTCAGCTTTCTAGAGTTTTTTTTTTCTTCTTTAATTTTCTCCCCCATTTTTTTTTCCTTAAAAATCAATGAAGAATTGATTTCTGTCAATAATTGTATTAAGGGTGAATATACTACCTGAATTTTGTGCATGTTACATTGTAGTTGTAACCTTTTCTAATTCAGGATGAACACGAGATGGTTGTGATTGTGCAGTGTATCAATAAAATTCGAAGAAATTTGTAATTTTGGGGGGGCTTGTTATTAGGCTATATCATTGAGCACTCAGGAATGGAGAAAAGTAAAGCTGACTATGCTACTCCCATATATGTGGTTTAGGCTTTGGGGAGTAGACACAATCAGGAATGCAATATTCATTCTCTCTCTCTCTCTCTCTCTCTCTCTCTCTCTCTCTCTCTCTCTCCACCCCAAGCTTATACACACATACAGCATAGAAGGCAGTCTACGCACTTTCTCTATACACATCTATATCTAATATCTATGCCATTTACAAATACTATAAGAT